CTTAGTTTTCAAACAAGCGGCGCTACACGCATGATGTCACCCTGCGGCGCGGATCAAATTCGTCACTGATGACGTCACCGTCGTGACATGAGCAAGCTCATAGTCTGGTCTGCGTGACAACACATCCGCTTTCCTGGCTTATGCTCCATCTCGAAGTTATATGTTGCAAAGAATGAGAGTCACCTGGCCATCCTCTGTGAGAGGTGAGGCGACTGATTCGCAGTGCGGAGTGGCGCATGATCTGTGTCGATCACAAACGGCTTTGGGCTCAGCAGGTGCACCCTGAACTTGACAAGTTCATCCTTTATCACTGGGTAGTTCCTCTTCGCAGTCTTAAGCTGGCGAGATTCGAACGCGATCACCCGATCCCGCCCCTCGGCGTCTGCTTTCAGCAGTATACAGCCGATGGCAACTTTCGAAGCGTGGCAGACGACACTAAAAGTATGATCGGTACCTGTCCAAGTAGTTTGCGATGCCAAATCACTTGCTTAAGACCTTTTGATTTTTTAGAGTGGCCAGTACGCAAAGGCCTTGACCTTAGCGAGATCCGCTCGAAGGACACGCTTCTCCATAAAACACCCTAAAAGGAGAATTTCTTCAGCGCCGAAGATGCACTAATGTGCATTAGCATATAGCTTATTCGTGCACATGAGCTCGAGCTCCGCTCTTGAATGGACGATGTGCTTTTTCTCATCTGTCTTCCCCTGTCCCGCACGACTGCGGAAGAAGATGTCATGGAAAACGATTTGATGTTGCTGGTACATTTGACAGACCTTGGGGCGTCACCAGCCACTCCCAGAACATCCCGCTCAGATTACTCACCGCTGTCAGCAGAATATCACTCGCTCTCATGAGCAATTGATAATGACCATCGACCACTTCGAGTGCGCTGGACATACTCTCTAGGAACTGACGTCTGTGCCGGAAGCAACGACGAGATAATCTCCTCGTTTGATCGTATAATGACCACCTCGTCTAAAACGCCTGCCTTCAAGGCACCGACAAACTCTTCGAAGGACATCTCGTCCAGCCCAAGAAGAGCATCCACCGTGGGAATAGCCTCGAGGGTTACGTCGCCGAATTCCTCCCCCGTCATAAGGGTGTATAGCTGTGCGCTATCGTCTACGGTAGACACACCCTGGGTCAGAGTCGACGCCCTGCATCTTGCAGATTGAACAGTGTCTCCACTCCCTACTCCATCGGAGCCTTACTGTTATCAACAACATCCGACGAAGAGCTGCTAACTTCGAAGTCTTCATCCAGTGGATAACGTGCCACTCTACACACATCAAAACGGCCTTGCCCAAGATAACTGCTACCTCGTTCGACCATGCCACTATTGGCATGCAGCAACTGCTTCGATATGTGAGCAGAGCTCAGTAGATTACGTAGCACTCCACGTTCAGCCTGCGAGCCACGCTCGGTACTCTTGTCCAGAACACCATTGGCTTTTGACATCGTCGATACTCCAAAATCCAGCACATTGACCGCCCCGGTCCAGTGCCCGCTTATACAGCGATTCTGCTCCCTAGCAGAGGTGTGTTCATGACTCACCAAAGCTCTACTAGGAGACGTGCGTGTAGCGCCCAAGGTTTTCGACCTCCAATCATTCCATGGCTCATGGTGGTCTAATTAAGCCATACCAACGATAAGGTGATACCTTGCATCCAAGTATAAGACTAGACAGCGTTCCACGCAATCAAAGTCAAGAAACTTGACATCGAAGAATCACAGACCCGCGGTACCATGAAATATGTCCCCGTCGCTAAGCGAATAGTGACGGTGTCACTCAACCGCGCTTCCAGCGCTTCAGCATACAGCTGACTTCCATCGATCGTGGAGCGTTGAGCATAACTGCCCAACGCGCCAGAATCGATCAGGATTATCCATGGATTATCAAAGCCATTTATGAAAGCCGGCTTGCACACACGTCCCTGCTCTCTACCTTTTTGGGGCTCAACAGAACTCAGTTCTCCCCCCGTAGGGCGCCCCGCGCCTACTAGGCTTTCTCGTTTCCCCGCGTTGAACCAGATTGGTTAGAAGCGGGACGTCGGTTTGACGAACCTTTACGCGCCTTGCGCAAGGGTCAACCCGTCCGAAGGTGACGGGTGTCTCCACAGACAAAATACCGTCGGGTGTTTTCACGCTACTCAGCAGCTCGAAGCTCAGCCTCCTCCTTCTCAGTATAGCTGAGACCCATTGGTTCAGGCCCGCTCGACGAGCTCTGAGGGCGTGCATTCAATGCCACGTTCACCGCTTTTTCAAAAGAAGACGGATGCACACGGAAGACCTCCATTCTGACCACGCCAGTGCGGAGGCCCTCCATATGGACGGTCACTGCGACTGCCTCGGGGAGAGGGTCTGATGTCATCCCGGCAATAAATGTTATCATCTCTTGGACAATTCCACCAACTCTTTCTTGTCCAGTCAGGCAGCAAGGAAACGCGATATCACGTAATATGCCTGAGTAGGCGGCGAGAACACTCGCAGAAGCTGACGCTTCAGCTCCTTCTAGGTTGGAAACGCACTTTCAACCGAAGCACCGCACGTTAGCGCCCATTCTTGCGCTCGGCCCCCAAGCTTGAAGATAGCTAGCGCCACTCGCTGTTGCTCGTTTTGGAGCATGGCGGATGTCACAGCCATCTCGGCCATTCTCACCCAGAAATGATAATTCTCCCCATCCTTACCGTCAAAGGTCTAATGCTCACCATAGGCGGCCTGGGTCGGAAGGAATCATCCGTCGACGACAGTGGCGTGATAGACGCAGTCGACGCTGGCAGCTTCTGCTGTAAGTGCTCTAACAGAGCATTTTCATAATTTGAAAACGCCTCTAGGCGCACGCTTATCGCTTCGGACCCTTGCGCAACAAGGTGCTCCACGCCATCAGGGACCAGTAGGGACATCAGCTTATCAAGCCCGTCCTGCATGCCCTAGGCAAATAGTAAAAATCCTCCATCCACTCAGAGGATCTGTCGTAACGACTCAGGCGTAGATTAACTACGTAGTGCTACCAAGTACAGTGGAGCCGCCGTAGCTCTTTGCTTAGAGGAAGCTAAGCTAAAGTCACCGGCCTTACGTTCTTACAAGTGTAGTGGATCGCGATCCGCCACTTCTGAGTACTAAAACCTAAGCCAAGGCAATCGAACACTTCTGTTCAAAGCTGAAACTGTGTTTAATTGCTTTAGTTGCGGTAGAGCCGCCAATATCTAGAACACTAGGTACTCCTTATCAATATAGTAATACCTTATTAATATAGCAAACCTAATTAACATAGTAATATGCATTACTTCTGGCAATCAATCCTGCGTGGTGGCTTCTTGTTACGGTGTCGCCGCACCACTGTGTTATTACACTAACTGTATAATACACACCTATGTACGGTCGCATAATATTGTGCGACCCGCCCTATCTTACAATGGCACGTGTGATACCGTTACAATAAGAGCGACGGCATTTGACACGCACGAATATGTCTTTTGATCAAGACGAGACTTTGGTGAGCTTTTGCGGGAGCATATCGTCGCGTGATCCATCCTAGCTCTTACGCCTATTTTTACCAACACCTCCGACGATCGACAGATTGTGTACTACCGCAAAAGAACGGTGAACTAAGGTCGCCAAATATCTGTTAATTTCAGTCCCTAAGTAGTCATTTACGGATCGCACGACGCACACATCTAAACTTTGCATTTATGGTCCATAAAGCAACGCAACAGGAACATGCGCTACGCGTACGAGACTGGAAGCTGACAAATAAAGAGTGCGAGCTTTGTTTAAAATAGCAACGTGATGCGTCCAAATATGTGCGCTAGATATGGCCGCAATGCTCCAATAACGCACATATCCCAGTGATGCTGACTTTAGTGCCGACAGGGAGACATAGAGTCACTCGCTGATATCGTATTTCTACTTATTTGGATTCTCTTGGGCTGGTATGGAAGAAAACTCTTCAGAAATTAGAGTGTCCACGAGATCTACACCCATGACTTCATCAGGCGAGTATTCACTTATTCGCGATGCCTTGGTGTTAAAAAAAGTGATACCACTTTAGATGCTGATTTTTTCGCGAATCAGAAGCGCCACGCGATCTTCTCTGTAAAACGAGATACTAGAAGAGGCCGAAAGTGTACCTATGCATATGCATGCGGTTATCCATGCCGCGATACGTCAGATTGAAGGCGCAATCTCATTACTTAGAGCTCAGCACATCACCGTGCGTCTCACGTTTGTCCTAAAAATTACTCGTTATGGCGCCTTACAAATACGCTACGTTCAGTCGTTCATTATATGCGCGTACATAATAACCAAAACACTTAATCAACACAGCCTCGCCGCACTGCCGACATCAGTGAGCTGCACTTGCTAAGTGTCTGCGATATGATCGCTGGGAGGAATGTTAACGATGGAGATATACAGTACGCTTCCATATCTATGAAAGCACGTATGTGATGTATCAGAAGCACGAAGTAGTGCATGGCTCTAAGATACATAACTTTCAATCTTGAATTTAACAGTGCATAGTTTTTCTTAGCACCGGGTCGACGGGACATGCCGAAACAGCGACGCAAATTACTCATGTAAAGGCGACGCCCAATGAGATTCAATCTAAACGAGGCGCTTCTGCTGTTTGAGATTAAAAGGTGCATCAAAAACATACAAATTCCGCATTTCACGTAGTGGTATATGCGGACGTCTTTCGTATTTCCTAATTTTACGTACTATCGAATGTTTTACTTGCAGCGTTTTTTTTAAATTGTGAATTCATGCAAAACTTTCGCTGGATATAGCACACAAAAACTTTAGGTTGCTCTTTGCAGAAACTCAATCTTTACTATTTTAAACTGTTTTACTCATGCAAATCGCTACTTAATAAGCAATAATAATATAAAGGGAATCGTCATGGGTGGGTTTTGTGCAGGGGGGCGTTTCTTCGCCCATTGCTCACTTTCAGACTTCCCGGCGTTTTATCAAGGTTTGACTAGAGAATACACCAAGCAACCATGGGTATGGCCTTTTCGCGCGTTTTTGAGCGCCTCTTTGGCAAGAAAGAGATGCGCATCCTAATGGTTGGTCTTGATGCCGCTGGTAAAACCACCATTTTGTACAAGCTCAAGCTTGGTGAGGTTGTGACCACGATCCCCACCATCGGTACGTCTTATTGATAATCTCACAGAGTATTGCCGAACCTTTTGGATCTTTCTTGCCTCCTTTGTCTCGCGTTCTCGAGGTGACAGCACTTCGTAACATGGCATTTAGGATCTTGGGTTTCACTATACGAATATTCTTACAAGTAGTGTTTTTAACGGTAATTGCATTTATCATCCCAAACAGGCTTTAACGTGGAGACGGTGGAGTACAAGAATATAAGTTTTACAGTGTGGGATGTGGGTGGTCAGGACAAGATTCGCCCGTTGTGGCGCCACTACTACCAGAACACACAAGGTCTGATTTTCGTGGTAGACTCGAACGACCGTGACCGTGTGGATGCGGCTCGTGATGAGCTGCACCGTATGCTTAATGAAGATGAGCTGCGGGACTCTGTGCTTTTAGTGTTTGCCAACAAGCAAGATCTACCAAATGCAATGAGTGCCGCAGAGATGACGGACAAGTTGGGGCTCCACGGCTTACGCCATCGTCAGTGGTTCATTCAGGCGTGTTGCGCGACGACGGGTGATGGTCTTTATGAAGGTCTAGACTGGTTGTCTGCAACGTTACAAAAGCAGAAGTAGGTTTGTCGCTCTGAAGTGGCGTTGTGCTCCTTATTCGTAAGGTCACGCGGTGGAGAAGAGGCTGAAGCTATGGATGATAGTAAAGTGACAGAGATAATAGCCGCCGTGTAATAGTGCATGTATTGATTTTAAAAACCGTTTTACTACTCTGATCATTGTTTAACAGGCGGACGAGACTCCCTGTGGCACAAAATTCCCTTTGAAGCGCATGTGTGGTAGTTTACACAAGTCGATTTACATCGTATCCTCCATGAAATGACATGCTTACGACTCTCCAAGCATAAGATTCACGCGTTTCATGATATAATCCTTCGCAGGATCGTAAGGTGAGTCCTTGCTTGGTATTTCCAACACTGTGGGAATTGTCTTTTCATATGTATTAAGAAGATGACGGATTTCCTCAGCCACCTGTACAGACCGCAAAAAGGCAAATGGACATAAAATAGTTTGCCACAGTAGCTATGAAATCGCTCCTTACATGTTGATTAATGAGAATGATAGCAATGTCGTCACGGCTAGATAGCGATCGGAAGGTAGCTTCAATTGTAGAAATTGGCGTGGCTACAGCAATATTTTGTACGGCATGTTAGTTTTAAGTACATAAAGCCTTTCAAGATTAGTCGCGCACAAGGCTTGACGACAAGAAAGTTGGTTCCGTTGGCCGTTCGATGACCAATACCCGCAAGGATAAAACCCGTGACGGTGTCTTCATCTCCAATCACAGCAATAAGTTTGGTGCTATCAGTCATCCTAGTGCGAAGAAAAGATTGAAGATTGCGATTTTAGTCAATTTAGATTAGTCCAGATCATTTTTAAGGTCAGCAAAAATACAAAATTATCAATGTTCGCCACCCCTGTAGCGGCTTCATCTGTGTCTTCGTCTGTGTCTTCACAACGCCAACTGCAAGGCCTCGTAACTCGTCGCACGGCTACTGTAGAGCCAAAAAGTGCAGCACAATATTTCGGCCATGTTGCTGACGTCGTGCGTACAAATGAGGGACTTACGAAGATGCGGTACGTGCTAGTCACCCGGTTGTGACATTCAGCGCGATTTCAACGTGACTGAATGCTAAACCTGTAGAATATACAATCTCAAGCGTCGCGCTAAGGTTGCATACAAGGGCTATGAGTCCGTATTGAGCCGCAAGAAACGACCAATTATTGGTAGCATTAAACCTTTGGTGAACAGTTCAAGACCAGCTCCATCAACAGCCATGTTTAATCCTGCAGCAGTGCTTCAATTACAAGCTATGTTACCCAGAGCACAGCCCGTAGCGGTCAAACCAGCGCCTAAAATCGCAGTAGCGACGTCCATGTCATCAGTAATACCATCCACTACGTTAGCAAACCCGGCGTCTGGGCAAATGTCGGCTGCACAATTTCAACTTCGCCAGCAGCAGACAAAGAACACGCAGCATCAAGTGCCGAAAAGGTCCGACTTTGTTGTAGGCTCAACAGTTCATATACGAGTAAGGCAATGGAATTGGTACTCTATGTCTTTGGTTTTGATGTCGACAATGTACGCTTGTAGAGTACCGCGGATTTGATTGCGTGTGGAGCGCGAAATTTGGCGGGGAAGACGGGACGTGTTGTTGCGGCACCGCAAATTTACGGTCAAGAGCTTTTTTCCGTCTACATTGATGAGCACGAGGCACTATTCCAAGTTCCATTTAATGCGTTGACGCTTACTGCGCGCCCAACGTCCACAAAACAACAGCACACACACAACACGCAGCACATACAGACACCACAGACTGGTTCTGCAGGACGATCCGATTCACACCAGATGCAAGGACCGCAAAACGCTAATATCCAAGCATCCAGCGGGTCAAAATCGGCAGACGCTAAAATGGAACATTCTTTTCAGCTACATCGCCTTATGCAGAAGCAATACCGTGAGATCCAAGTACTACAACAACGCTATGCAGAGTGCAGAGTGATCAATCCTTCAGCGTTATCAGGTATTCAAAAAGAACTGTCCAAGCTGCGGCTTGTCCATCTCTCACAGGTGCAAACCCTTAAAAGCAAGCAATCACTTGATCGGATAGGCAAGTAATTCCGTTAAGTCACATTTTAGTTGCAAACGCCCAATGTTTCATGTGATTTTATATTTCCTCTTCCCTACATGATGCTTCTTGAAACGAGAAAATTTATGCAGTTACTGCTGGTAAAAACTAGCGTATTGTGCTTGGGTATAAGTCTGCTGAGTAGCCACCGCCGCAGGGTCAGCTTGAGGGTACACTTGAGCTTGACCTCCGTAACCCTACAAAAAAATCACCAAAACAAAATTGTTAGCAAATCAATCAAATGTTACGTCCCCCTACATATATGCTCTTTTCACTACAGCGAGAGCAGCACAGCAAAGAACAAATGCAAAAAGCCCCTGTCATTGACGTTCCTCCCTGCCTCCTCATCTCATCGCAGCACTACCACAAAGTCTTCATGGACGTTGGGCCAGGCACTAGACAAAGCCAAACCGAGCTCCCTTTGGAGCTCATTTAAAATTGCAGTCCCCAGCAGTATCCACGATTAAAAATAAACGCAAGTAGACATTGGGGTACGGATAGAAACACAAGCAAGCATTTACCTGAAAACCATGGTAATATGAGGCAGCCGTCGTCGCCGCTGTCTCTGTCGCGACTACTGCTGGTATCGCCGATGTTGCCGCTGCGGTGGGTATTAACTGGGATGTAGAAGTGTGCGGGGTGTTGAAACGAGGACGCTTCATTCCAAGATCCACATTGGAGTTGTACTCACTTGCATCAATATCCCAGCCACTATGAATTTTCAGTACCTTGATCGTGCGATTACAGGGCTGGGAATTTTGTAGCTTCCACACCAATTCTCTTTTGCGAGCTTCACGAACTTGAGCGATATCATCGCCATAATTCCCCAGAAACTCAACATACTGGAACCACAAGTCGTTCTTCTCGTCCATCGACAAATTGCAATCGTCTTCAAGCGCACGTTCGAAGACCCGAGTAACCCGTGACACCATTTCTGCATTGTCGCCACCAATATTCTTTTCAAAATGAGCAAAGTTTAGCCAAAGCAACACTGAATCGCTACGCTTCTGCACCGCGCGTTCGAATACGGCACGAACCAAACCTATATCACCATCAATCTTCTTTAAGAACATGGCGTAAGAAATAGCCACATAAGCAAACACCTCGGCGTCATTTTCGAATGTCTCCATCCCGCGTTCATACCACATTTTGACTGTCTCAATATCTCCTCGTCTTCGTTTAAAATTGCAATACTGCAAGAATGCTTCGGCAAGTTTTGGTGCTACATCGGATAACACTCTCATATAGGTGTCTTGAGCTCTTTGCAGCTCATCGTGAGCCTCCAAGAAAGTCGCATATTCTAAATAGATGGAAGAGCGGTGCTTTAAAAATATCGTAACAGCTCGCTGAAAAACTGCATCTGCTGCTGCAAAACCGCAAGCCTTTTCACTCCACGAAACGTAGCGAAGCCAAATTTCTTCGTAATTTGCACATGGAATAAGGCAGCGCTCGTATAAGTTCTGGCAACGCTCACTATCACCTGCAGCTTCTTCAAAGTCTAAGTAGCTGTGCCAGTTTTTCATTGCGGCTTCTGTCACAGGCGTAACGTGAAAGTAACTCCGATCAATAGCTGCTTCAAATCCATGACGGCGGTATATATCCCCCAGTGTCGTATTTTTAACGGCCTCCACTGCATTTACAATTTTAACTCGCAACAGACCTTCATCCATGAGTTCTTCCCCATCGCTAGCAAGAGCCTTCTGCTCATCGGTCGTAGCAAGAGAGCTTAATTGCTGAGCTAACACAAACTGGTTATATTTCTCCCAAAAATCTTCAAGATTGCGTAGCGGCTGGTGCATGATTCGCTTAAAAATTCGATTCAGACGAGGCATGTCATTCTATTGAAGCGCAATCACACACACAATCAAATAACTACTCTGTGATCAGTATTCGTGTAACTCACATTTACTGTCTCTAAATGGATGTAAAGCTCCCACAATGGACCTGCCAGGGGATCGCACCCGCATGCTTCCACAGCTCTTTCTAACAATCTGTATCATGAACAACAACGTTAGTAGTTAAGCAGTCAAACTTGTATATAAAATATAATACATACGGTCGCGTTTCCTCTACAGGGCAAAGCACCGTGTGAATGAGAAACTCGCAATACTTCATCCACATGTCCACACTGTATTTTACTGCCGCTACACCTCGTTCGTAGACCTCACGTGCCTTCTGTTTACCTTCTTCTATAGTCACCACAGTCCCTAATCCGTCCTCTCTTGTTCTGCTGGCAAGTCGATATTCGTATTGGGCATACTACATCCGATATATGGTCAGCAAAGTGGAACCAGTAGCCATCATTATATAATGTTCACCTTATTCCAGTATCCAAAGCACAATGGAAACTCAGCCAGAAAGCGGTCATATGTATCCTCTACCAGCTCGCGCGACGTTGCAGACTGGAACATTACAGAGTAATTGGAGGTTGAGTAATTCGAGGGAACATTATAAAATCCACAATCTCATCACAATGACGTACTTCACTCTGCACAAGAGCCAATAGGCTAACCCATGAGTTGAAATCTAGCGGATTCTTTTTAACAGTTTCCATGAGTTTTTCTATAGGCGAGTTCTCAGCTCCAGAATCACCGCCGAGGCCATTGGTGGCAGGGGTCTCCATGTCTAGATCAAAAGGGGTGATTAATGAACTGGTGTGCAATACATCAGCTGATAATCCTAACTGTTTATAGGTGGTCTTTTAGGTAAATATGGGCAATTGATTTATTCTTAGCGAGAGCTCTAAATTTCTGAACGTGAAGGACCTTAATTGAGCTCTGCAGTGGGTCGAATCGTGGATTCTTGAAGTGCCTGGACTGTAGGAATCAGATACGAGCTGGTCTTTAGTTGCAGTGACGGCATTCCGTGCAATGGAAACCGCTGGCGTTTCCACTTGTGGACGAAAGTTTCTGCCTTTGCAATCAGCCGCGATCGATCTTTTTCGCTTTGACTTTTGATGGTATCAAGACGCTGCAGTGTGCCCTTGTCATGACTGAGAGAAGTTAAATACGTTGCTCCACACTCAGTCAGGGCTAGTGTATCTTTCAACGAGTGGATGCTTTACAACGCACATAAACAAAATTAACGAATAAGTAGTGCAAGAAGTCTCGATATACCTGGTGTGTGGTGACTCTGCGGTATCAATCGCCTCGGACAGTAAGCACACGACGCTAGGCCTTAAATGTCTCGGTAGTAATTTATGGTCGTCTGAATCTATCCACGAGCTGAGTGAGACACTAGTATCCTGAAGCTTTCGCCTGATTTCAGAATCATTTCTTTCATGCGTTGCAATTGCCATCGCCGCCAAAGCATCACTGCACTATTTAAATGCGCCGTTTCAAGATCGAAATTAAAAGAGACATCCAATCATGTCTTTTGCCACCTTATTGGCTGGAATTAGCTGCGACGATTGATGAGATACCTACGCGCGAAAGGCATACGCAAGGCGCTGCGCCAATTTCACTTCTTATGTGGCATTAAGCCGCCTTATAAGGTGTTGCTGGATGGAAACTTTATCGCGATGTGCATTCAAATGAAGGTAAATGTGAATGAACGCGTGTCTAAGTATTTACAGGTCAAGCAGCATGAATGCGAATTTTACGTCCCTCGTGCTGTCCTTGATGAGCTTAAGACCTTGGGGGAAGCCACCAAAGAGGCTTATCATCTGGCGAAGAGTTTCAAGGTAGCGGAAGTCTTCGGCCAAGCTGAGGATGACAAGCAGGTGACTGTAGACGTGTCCAAGTACATTCAGACCATCATCGGCGACAAGAACGATCGCAAGTTTTTCGTTTGCACGCAAGAGGTGGAGCTTCGCAAGGCGTTACGTCTGGTGCCTGGTGTACCGCTTATTTACTTGAACCGCTCAGTTTTGGTATTCGAGGAAATTTCCCGTGCTACCTTGGCCATTGTTCGCCAAGAGGAGGAAGCTAACATGGCTAAGCTGGACATTAACGTGAAGAGAAAATTGGAACAGATACAGGAGAACAAGCATGAAACTGGCTATGCAGAGCAGGGGCGAATCGTGAAGAAGCGGGCAAAGGGTCCAAACCCTCTCTCGTTTAAGAAGTCGGTTAAGAAGAAGATTCGTGCTAAGAAGAAAAAGAACTAACCATGTATCTATTGCTCACTACATGAATATTATTACTTGACATATAATGCTGCTTAAAAGTCTTTATCCCATTCGCTATCGTCTGGTGTGTAAGCTGGAACTTCCTCATCTTGATCATTGACTTTTCCAAACTTGGAAGCATCAGCAGCATCCATAAGTTTTGGTTTGTATGGAGCATCAATCGTCTTCTTCAGCGTGGCGACCCAGTCCAGCTTCGCAAACCATGAGTGAGAACGAATTGCACGTGCCCCACCGTGAGTCATACCAAGTCGCTTGGTGGGGTCACGCTCCAGCAGCTTCGAAATGATGTCGCGGCAGGACGGAGTCACCCACGCTGGAAATTCGACTTTCTCCTTGACAACGTTCCGGCAAATTTGCATCTGATCAATTTGGCTTGACCCTGCAAATGGCGAGTAGCCGACCACCATCTCATAAATCAGAATTCCAAGAGCCCAGTAATCAACTCCGCGATTGTGGCCTTTGCCTAAAACCAATTCCGGTGCAAGATATTCGGTTGTACCGCATAATGTATATGTTCTGTCGTCCACCACCTTGGCAAAGCCAAAGTCAACGACTTTCAGGTACCCCTCTGGGTCAATCAGAAGATTCTCTGGCTTTAAATCGCGGTAAACAATGCAGCGTTCATGAAGATATTCAAGCGCCAGCAGCACATGGCTTGCATAAAAGCGAGCATGGTCGTTCAATAGCCGACCTGAAGATGATGGAGTCGAGTGCAGATAAGTAAACAGTTCGCCACCCTGTACAAACTCAATCAGCAAGTACAATCGAGCCGCATCCTTGTACGTTGTGTAGAGCTTAAGAAGGAACGGGTGATCGCATTGAGCCATCACTAGCTTCTCACTAAGCGCGTTCCGCTGCTGCTTGTAAGCCACCACAGATGCCTTGTTGAGAACTTTAAGTGCGTACGTTGTGCCTGTAGACTTGTGTTGCACCAATTTGACGCGACCAAATGTGCCCGATCCCAAAGTGCACAGCACCTGAAGTTCATCCAGCTTAATCTGCATCTGCTCCTGCATTTTCAATGCATTCTTGCGTTCAAGCGCTTCGCGATTCAGTATATCCTGAATGGGGCCAAGAAGCTCTACAAATCGACCTTGGTCGAGCGACAGACACTCCAAACTACCGTTGGCGATGACGTCAGCTTGTCTTGGCTTTCCGTGCAACAGCGACATCTCCCCGAAAAAATTACCAGTGGATAGCGTCGCAATCTGCTTTTTTTCGGAAGCGACACCACCATTGTCTTCGGTCTTAGTAATTGATTTCGTAACGAGTGCAGACCCACTCTTTATAATATAAAAGGCAGTGCCGTTGTCGCCCTCTCGAATCACAAACTCTCCGTCAGCGAACGAAATTGGCTTTAACGCTCCAAAAAGCTTTTCTTTTTCGGTAGAAGAAAGAACTTTAAGCATTGGAATGGCTTGTAGTACACGCATGCTCATATTATGATCGATCACTTCACGCAGACTTCCTAGCTGATCGTCAAAAGCTTGCCGATCAAGTGCAATCAAAGTCACATTTGTCTCTGCAGTCACATTAGCAGCACGAGGCTCACGTGTCATTAGCGCTCGCTCTCCAAAGTAGTCGTTCTCGGTAAGACGCAACGACTCCAAGCGGTGATTGTCTCCCACATCGGTGCAAATGACAACACCACTTTTGATGATGTACAAGACATTTCCTCGTTCACCTTTCTTTATTATCCGCTCACCTTTCGCAAACTTGACGAATTGAGCTGCTTCGGCGAGCTGGCTTAGTTGGGTCTCCGTCAATGCTTGCAATAACGCCACGTTGCGAAGAGCGTTCTTGCATTCGCCAATTTGGTCGGACTTGATACGAGCTACCAGTCGGCGGAATGTGATACGGTCAAGAGCCCAAAGACGACCAGGCTGTGAGCATGTCACTGTGGCAGTGCGTGGACAATTGTATACTAAAGCCAATTCTCCAAATGTCGCTCCTCGCTGGACTGAGTTGACAATAACATCATGAACTGATATAGAAAACAAACCCGTCTCGACAACGTAAAAGAAATCGCCGTGATCATCTTCCTTTATGATAACTTCGTTAGCTACGGCATGCTTCTCCGTCATAAATTTAACAATCGAATCAATGTCACTATGACCGATAGTGTAAAAGAGAAAATTGTTAAGCAGTGCCTGTCGAATTAAGGTCGTGGATTCTGAAGATTTTGCCACACTCTTCAATTCTAATGGTGTATCAAATTGAACACTTTCCCCAAAAATGTCACCTCGGCGCAAGGCATCGTTGCGCTTTTCACGTAGGAGAAAACTCATTTTACGTTCTGGTATATAGTAAGCATAGCGCTGGCGTGAGCATCTCATGGAAAGAAACATCAACACTGTAGCGTACCGACAGCATCATTGCTCACTATGACCGGATCAAACGTCTGACCCACTTGATCTGGTACTGAATGAACGCACCCCATGGTTTATTTATGTTGCGCACGACAGCTGTCGTGTGATGCTTAGTTTTTGAAAAGTGTCGACAACGACTGAAGTACAACAATCAAATGGGCAAAGGCATCCTCGGCTTCTGAGGTATTCAAAGATGCTTCATTCTAAGTTGAGAGGATTTCTGAATTCTAATTTTGTGTTCCGCAAGTCACTATTTGAAGAAGCTAAAACGGGTTGACGATCTCTTAGCGTCACTTTGAGTCGGTACGCATCTTTGCAATGAATTCTGTCGATTTACATGTTTCCAAGTCGGATGAAGTGACCATGAAGAATGATATTTTACCGGAAACGCAAATTCAACCATTAAATCTTTTCGAGCTTCAAGACGATTTTGAAAAGATTCTTATCGAAGACGATGTTAAGTCCAACGACAAACAGATAACTTCGGAATTACGTCTTCGCTATCAATCACGGGAAAAGAAGCAAAGGATTGACAGTCACGTACAGATACTGCAAGAAGATCATGCTCGACAACAGCTTCGATTTGAATTAACTGAGCACAGTTCAGGAATGTTGAAGACACCGCTTACGAGCGCGTTGAAGGCTAGCAATAATTATCAACAAGGAAATGATTTGGAGTTAGCACTGCAGTTCAGAGGACGGGAACAAATGTCATCTATAGCAGCTCTGCTCGAAGAGGCTCAATGTCGATACGAGGATGCAGAGTTTTTTTCACAAAACGTTGCTTCTAAACTTAGCTCTCGACAGGCATCTATTAGAGAGCATCCAGGCCAAAACTTGCTTTCATCGACATCACCGACTTTTTACACCGCCCCACACGACGATTTAGTGCGCATCGAAAGTTACAGACGTTATATTGAGCTGTTGTGCCAAGAACTCGAGCTGACCGCAGAACAGGCAGCTGAACGACAAAACCTAACGGTATCGCAGTCGCGGAAAGATGCACAGTTTGCCCATCCGAAAATACCTGAGAGCATGGAAGAAGACTGTGATCGCAAACTTACAGATTGGCGGTACGGTAACGCTGTGTGTGCGCAGACTGATAACCCTCAAGCACAAGCAGAACCAAAAACGGAAATGCCCGCTTCTGAGCAAAGCGACAGTAATTTGTCTACCAAAACCTTGGTCGAAGTACTTGTTCGTATGCAGTTGGAGCAAGTTCGCACACGCCGGTTTGAAGCATTGAAAAGGGCACTACTTATTCGGCACGCAAAGCAAAATCAAGCGGCAAAGGAATTTCTTTGTCGCTGGAAACTGCACCTTTTTAGCGTTAGAATGACTCGACTAGGTTCCGTGCAATCCGTGCATCGCATTATGTTACTCCATACATCACGCAAGAAACTGAGCTATTTTTACAAGTGGCGAAATCAAATTCGACAGCTCATAGTTCACACTTCTCAAAGGCAAGCTCTTGTATGCTGTAACCGCATGATTGCCGCGGAAAGAATACGCCGCATTTTTGACCAGATCACGGTACGTTCTTGAACAAGCAAGCATACGTCTGTACTAATTTTACTTGGTGGGGTTCTGAATAGGTGAAGCGATTAGTCTTTAGTTTCCACCGATGGTGTCGACAAACATTCTTTCTTGCCAAAGGTATTTTTGTTCATTCTAGCAATGATGCAGGAGTAAACGAAGAAGATCTTCAGTCTTTGCATCGGGAAATAAAGAAGCTACACGACCAACTTGCCTCCTCAAAATCTGAGGCTTGGCGATATAAAAGGCAGTTATTGAAGCAGTTTCTTTGACTGGTCAAAGAGACAGAGCTGCCAATTAATTGGTTTCTCGCTTAAAATTAGGTAAATATTTTCTCGCTGAAGTCTAGCTTTGATTCTCAATAAAACGCTCTCTAAATTGAGCAACAGTAAAATTCTCGAAAGTAAATTCAGTAAATCTGCCATCGCCCATATCAGTACTTTACGATAATCTGGACGATTTTGCTGTAAGGAAGGATCTGTGCCCATTTCAACATTACTAAATACATTGGCTATCATGGATAAAGAAAAAGCTCGAGCACGTATGCTTCGTATGTGGTTGTCTCTGAGCACGAACGATGCACGTACCTGTATTCGCACAACGCAGGGGTGAGTCGTGCTTGAGCTAGCTATCGCCTTCTTTATGAGTTTTCTTACTAATACGGTATCAGCACTGTCGTCCACGCTGAGAAGCTGATTGCTAACGCGAAACAGACCTTATTAGCGTGCACAAATCTTGCCACACCGTTAGGCACCTACGCGTATGCGGTATTAAGGGATCAGGATGTTGCACAACTAGAGTGTGCACTCACAACTTCGAAGCTTCAAGCGTTGGTCCTTGACGATATTGAATTTCCGGAAGAGAAATGACACTACAGATTAGCGGCGCGAGGCAGCGATACTAAAAAAATAAAGCTGGCAGACGATTCCAAAATTTTGAACTTAAGAAAAGACCAGCAGCAGGTTAAGCAAACGCATGTAGGTCACAGTTTTGAAGTTGGGATCAGTAGCCTGCTTCAGCACGGCGTACACACGCCACGAGGAATGATCCATACGGCAAATCGCGCACAAAGAGCGCAATGATATAGCCTCAAATAGGATTTCTCACACGCCTGAGACAATTTGCTTTGACAGCGTATAGGCAAATGAAGCTACACGCATGGCTGGTTGCGCAACCTTTTTTATTGTCGCAGGGTGACGCTGCCAGATAAATTGTTCCCACAGCTATCGTTGCTTCTACCGACAAACTTCACGATACTGGTGCTGGAAATGTTATTGGTGGAAGTAGTCGCTTGCGCTGGTGCATCCCGATCTCACGACTCGAATTCTATCGGAAAAGATGCAGCTAATTGCGTATGCAAGGACAATAATTGATCCTGTAGCGACGATCGACCGCTTTAGTGAAAGTCAGCAATACACCTATCAATGCACGCGCGTGCATCACTCAAATAGCAGCGACCACTGTGGAGACAGCTTGTTTTGCTGGCGCCTCTTCAAATAGCTGCAAAGTGCAATTCGTACACTTTGGCAGCGTTGCGCAGACTCATTTATGGCAATATCTTCCATAGCTGCCATATATACTTTGGCGGGTACCCACTTGCTCTGCCGATGCTCTGATTGTTTGTTCTTTGTACGAAGACAGCATAGAACCGATACAGAACTGTTGGTGTCGCATGGTCCGCTACTTTGACTGGCCGATATTTATCTATGTTCAGTTCGCTTTTGTATCATGCGCCTCTCGGTAGGCTGGACCCATAATCGGTGCTTGCACAGAACAATGGAGTTTATTTTCGCGTTTTGAGGTATTGCAAGTACATGTAGCGGACGTGAAGGTAGCGTTCGCAGCACTACAAAAGCTTAATATGCTGCATAAATAGTATTGGCTCGAATATACCGCATCCAAAGATCTGCATCTTCAAGCGCTGAGATCGATAGGACTCATGCACGTACTCCACTGGCTTATTATCAGCTTGGGTGCGAACGGTTAACGTACGGACTCCTGTCGCCAATCTCAACGTATGACTTGCATTGATTCAAGGTGATATTTTAAACCTCGCTCTATGTCAAGGCTCTAGTAATTACGTTTACTATAATATCATGCCAAACCCCTACCTTGTTCGCAGCCCTCACGCCTCGTGCAAAGATTGCGCACAGTCAAACCATTGCGAACTATCGCCCGCGATGGTGTACGTTCATAACACCACCATTGAATAGGCGAATAGGATGATTTGGACGAGTGTAGAGTGTTGGGAGTAAGATGCAAACGAGACAGTGTAGACAGTGAAAGCTTTGATATATCATTTATTTTCATTTCAATGCAAACTCTTCTTTAGCTCTGTCCGATTTTTACATTGCCCAAGATCCGTGTCTTTTATCAGCTAAAGACCAATCATCACGTTCACTGCGCAAGCAACCTAACCAGTGTTTCCGCCAAGCCAGCTCAACAGCACCGGCTACGCGATATGGAATCGCTACATGCGTAATGCGCCCCTGACCAGGTCGCGTGATATGTCGTAAACCGAGAGACGACTCCAATTTTCACAAAGTCATGCGCCAGGGACGGGAATGTCGAGTTGAGTCGCGTTTGACCTAGTGCTACACCACATAGACGCGAACTACCACCAGGTGATCGGCAATTGCAAAAATGCGGGCAGCATGAAAACGCAGTGCGGTGGGATCACAAAAAGGTGATCGTGACCACCTGAAATGACACCTATTCAGAATGACGATGCCTGAAAGCGCGAATTTGTTGCATCACTGCAATGAGGTCCTCAATATCAAAACTCAGACACATCAGCTATGGCGCAGAAATTGAGGATAAAGATGTGAGAGTCGCTTGTTGCGCATTCTCTACAAAAGATACCGATGTATCAAACTTGGTGGTGGGCAGGGCAGAGCAGAAGACGCAAGGCCTCTGTGCACGTAATCCACAGTGATGACGACTGGAGATGCGGTTAAGCGAGAGAGTCTAGCTATGGCATTTACTGCAGCGAATTGGAGCACAAGATTGATAAGTGCTGGAACAAGCATATGGGTGCGAATTGACACCCCGACCTGGCGGTGATGATCATGAACGCAGGGCCAACGGTGACGACGTTTACAAATTTGGTTGCGGTTGTCTAACAATTGTGATTCACTATCTCGACGAACAAGAGTTCTTTCGGCAGGTGGGCAGTCATCAGCGGTGTAACGCATCGCATACACCGAAAACAGGGTTAGGTTGACACGTTTAATGAGCAAGCGCACAATGCCATGGTCGATATCATGGGCATTGAAACCATAATCGAGCAGATAATTTTGCTTAGCAGTGAAGAGTGCGCGATCGAAATCACCAAAACGCTTTACATGCCAAGCATAGATTATCGTTTAAGCTTATCTATGTGACGGCAAGTTTCAAGCAGTGTGTGCCGGGTGCCAGCATGCTTTTTGGACGCAAGTATCACACAAGCAGTAACATCGGTGGTTCTCATTGACGGATCCTACTGGTTGCGCATACCACAATAATCTGTAAATGCAGTGACGCGGCTCCCGATGCCGACATACCCGCTTAGATTGGTTATTTTTCACTTGAGGTACTGCGTAAGATGGTCGTCGAGATCATGATTAAGGTCGCTTATTTACTTCTTAAGACGAGCAGTCCAAATGTCTGCGACAGAAGCTATTTCGTGATGAAGCCGCCGAGTCGCGTTCGACTTCGACATGTACATGCAGAGGTAAAAGGTCTTATTAGTGAAAGCAATTATCTGTTGCTAATTGTGAGCAATTTTTTTCTGCCTGCGAGTCAGGTCGGAGGATGTAGAATACCTCAAGAGCTATATCATCACGATGCAGAAGCAACTCGGCAAGCGGGTCGAGGTTGTGCATTATAACGGGGCCCGAGAGTTTGCGACTGACTTTTAACGAAAGCAAGACATCAAACAGCACTAAATATATTGACACCACTGCAGAACGGCGCAATCTTCACGATTGGTTGCAGCATGTAGCACCAAGCCAAGTTAAGGGAAGTGCTTTTGAGAAGAAGCCGCGATGGCTGCTATGTATCAAAAGATGACCTGCTGATGCCTGAAATCGGTACAACATTCGTACCAGGCCGTCACAAGTCCAAGCCCAGTATGGAGTTCATGCGAGATTTTGCGTGTCGGCCGCTCGTCCTTACTTCAAAGGGAAACGGGTCAAGTGGATTTCCGATGTTTTCTCTCATTTGTACATGGGCTATAAAACAATCTCGACGAATAATTGAGTTAAAGATACTACTTCTCAATTTGCCGGCTACCCCATAAGTTGCTTTTTTAGAAGAACCCCAAACCCCAAACCGCTTTTTCTTCGCCTTTCCACGATGAATACCAAAAGATCAACCACGTCTGCCACTGTCGCACCTATGTCAGCCGTCTCTGCATCACCTGTTGGACAGTCGCGTTGTGACGAATCTGGGTTTGCGCCTGGCTCTGCACCAGATATTCGGTCACCACCTAGTATCAGGCTTGACGCAACTGACGGCTTCCTTATACTGGACCAATCAGCTGGCATCCAGCCGCCACGTATTGCTCTCGCAGCGACTGAACCATCCACGCCAGCCCATCCTTTTGCACCCCCGTCGTCATCATCGCTCGCGTTTTCAGTGCCGTCGGCCTTTGAACCAACACCTGCGGACAACTCGGATGTTGATGAACCGATGAGCTCGCTACCTGCTGTTGCCGCACCGCCAGCTCCTGCTGACCCACGCCCGACGATGGCTGACTTGTTCAAGCAACAGGAGACCATCCGTCACAACGAAACCGCAGCCGAAGCAAAGCGAAGCTACATCGAGGCCCCCAAGCCGCTCGCTTGTGACATCGAGTTGATCGAGCGCCAGTACGCCGCGAAGCGCGACTGGTCGTATATAGCTTTTCGCATGGATCAAGCCCGACCGTACGAGCTTCCTCGAGCCAAGTTCGACATGGTGATCGCCACCGGACGCACATTTGCGAAAACACCGTTGCAGCGCATCATGGCTTCGCTCGCTGGCTCCAACCATGAAAATGAAATTCTTGAAGATCTCTACAGGCGGCATGAGATCGGCCAAGTGTCGAAATTCCCTGGCGGAAATTTGAGAGTCAAAGTGAAGTCCAAGGAAGCATGCCTGAAACTCGAGCGCACGAAGGTGATCATCTTGGGAGGCATCTTTCAGTTCAAGGAGTACGACGTCCTCGCGAACAAGAACTACCTCGACATCTCAAACGTCGACTCCG